TCATGTTGCAAATGGATTTCCCACATTAAGAAAAGGTCACAAGGCCTCTTTAATGAAGCATCCTCTGAAGGGTTTATTGATAGATTAAGTAATTGGTGCAGGGAGAAACTTGAAACTAAAATGTTCTAAGCCATGACTGCTGGTCAAGCATCAACCAGAAATTAAGATAAAGCAAAACCGTCATGATTATAATTTTTAAAATGAGATGTAACTTGCCCAGATTTCAATTTTTTATTTTACTGGATAAGCAGCTAAAGCTCCCTGGTTCTCTCTGCCACACAGCCCTCTATCCTAAAATTCTCTCATGAGTAACCCAGAGCTCTCCTTTCTGTCTTTTCTTGTTTCATTCTCAGAAACAGCGTAATAAATATGTTCTGTGTGTTTCCAGATGGAGCCATCAACCACCCTTTTTCCCCAAAGCCCAGAGACAAAATGCCCTGGTGGGGATGTATCTATATGGAGAGAGAGAGACGATTTTTTCACATTGTCTCTGGTAGGGTCCCCTCCCAGTGTCAGGTCTCTGTTGTCCAGTCACCTTGTTGTTTGTTTGCAGGGTGGGGCTGAGGTTTCCCAAGCTTTGATTCACACACAGAAATGAGTCTTGCCTGTTCCCTCCCCTCCCTGATGGAGTCACAGGCACACACCTGTTCTCAGGTGTCTGCTCCCTAGAGAGGGAAGATGCAGAGCCTGGCCTTGTGATTTCAGTACAGCATGGTCCTTTGAGGATGAGAGAGCAGATGACAGATTCAAGATGGCCAGGTGACAGTACCGAAGCCAGCTGGGCTCTCGTGATGGGAGCAGGGACTACAGAGTCACCATTCCACTTGTCTACTCAGGGCCTGCCATACCCGCAGAAGTTCTTTACATGTTGTGATTGAGTCTGGGGTGCCAGGAAGGTTCCCCTCCTTCTTCCTCCTTCAAAAGAATAGCCCTCTCTGGAAATCAGTTATTACAGATTTAAGAGACTGGGATCGGCCTTCTCTTCTGGATTCTGGATCCAGCCACCATCGGAGCCAGTATTTTTCATCCATAAATTTTATAATACAATTAGCTTTCTTCATAGAGTGTTGTGAAAACTGTATGTGAAGGAGTTTTATGAGGTTTAATGACTAATAAAGATGCACCTGTGTCTGTCAGCGTGCAGACCAGGGATTGGTTCAGGTCTCAGCAAAGGGAAGGAAGACAGGCTTGGTGGGAAAGGGAGCACCTGAGTCCCAGGGAGGAAAGAGGAAGGGAGACTGGTACAAGAAATGGAAACCACCAGAACCAACTCCTTAATTTGTCATTAACACAGCCTCTGCTAAGAAGCAACCCAGTGGTTCAGTCACTTCACCTGACTGAAAACAGCTGTGAAGTCAGGACTGTGATGTAGCCCTGGCTTTGACTCAAACCTTTCTGTGACCTTGTGCAAAGTGTGTCCCCATTGCAGCCCTCAGTTTTCCACTCTGTAAAATGGAGATATTATGGCCAACAGGGAAGCGGAGTGCTAGCGTTTTGAAAAGTTGAATGTGTTAGATGTATATGACTTCGATGGTGTCTTAGATATTTATGACCTAGAGGGCACAGTCCCTTCAAGGCCAGCCATGTTATTAAGTCTCTATCCCGATCATCCCTGGAGTATCCTCTGAGATGATAGTTACGTTATAAGCCAAATTTTATCACTAGCTATAATTCTCAAAACTAAGCAGGAGTTGTTTACTGATCAAGGAAGAAGCCAGTGAGCATATCGGCAAAAATAAGGATGTGAGTGTATTCCAGAGAAGCTACGTGGTGACTGAGACATGAAAGGATGTCCCCACCTACCTACTCAGACACAGCACTCCTACACTCACACCTTCTAGAAGTCAGGCACACGGGAATGCTTTGATTTATGTCCTGTGTTGCTGCATATGTCCCTTTTGGAGAGTCTGCATCAGGATGAGCACAGTGGTATGGGAGCTTGGAAGTGAGTGGTGCAGGAGGAGAAGGTGCTCATCTCCAAGACGGAATGCAGAGCCCAGGATCTGGAACCATTCTTGAAGGCGATAGGCTTGGGAGGAGGAGGTGGTAGAGGAGGCATGCCTGGAGAGGAAATAAAGGCTTAACTTTTAAGTAAGGTTGACCCTGAAAAATGAGCGATATCTGGTCTATATATTACACAAAGCTCAGGCAAAACCATTAGTCATGGTTCCCCCCAGTGACGGCCACTTGTCCAATGGGGACATGCTAGCCACTGTGATATAGTGGAAACAAGCTTTGGGCCAGGACCCCTACCCAACTCCGCCCCTACTAGTTACCTGTTGTTGAGCAGTCAGTCAACTTTCCTGGGTCTACTTTTTTAAACTGTAAAATCTGATTTACACTACCCAACAGAACTGCTATGAGGATTAAATAAGGGATTTGGAAATGGTTTGAAAATTATTTTTAGGCATTTCTATCATTTCTCAGGCAGCCTTACACTTTGCTCGGCAATGACAGAAGTGAACACATCGGTCTGTAGTTGGACAGAATCCTGAGGTTCCAGGCAGTGGTCCCAAGGGAACCAGCATCCCAGAGCAGTCCTGCCTGTCCCCATCCCAGAGGCTAGGAGGCCAACTGGGGGACCAGAGTCCGTTCTTCTCATCTGAATGTGGTTGCCAGATTTAGCAAATAAAAATCCAATCCACCCAGTTATGGCTGAATTTCAAAAAAAAAAAAAAAAAAAACAAGTAATTTCGTAGTATATCTCATACAGTATTTGGGACACACTTATACTAACCAAATTCTGTTGTTCATCTGAAATTCAAATTGATCTGGGACTCTGTGTTTTGTCTGGCAGCCCTAACCCAGAGGCTAAATTCTATACCACCCTCTTGGACCAACCCTAACACCCACCAGCTCCGACTCCCGGTAGGCAGGTTGGGGACACGGCACCATGTTGATTAAGTTCAGGGGCACCATTCACATTCTTCTGGTTGTGCTCAAGAAGTCACACAGAATCCTATGCAAAAGGTTCCTGGTGGATAGGGAAACTCATAAGCACTGTGTAGTGAGACAGGGCTAGGGGCCAGAGATCCTGTTGGTAGACTTTTGACTTCTCCCTCCATAATGTTAAAACTCTGTGTTCTTTGAATCCTTCCCATCGGGGTTCAAACTCCATCTCTGCTGTTTACTACCTATGGGATCCTTCCCTGCCTCACTTTTCTCATTGGCAAAACCGTAACAATGGCATTTGCCCTACCAGGGCTCTAAAGACAAAATCAAACTATGGCATGAGGGTTGAGCTCAGCGCTAGACACCAGTGAGTTCACAATGACTGGCAGCAAAATGAAGTGCCCCAAGGCCATATCCCCCTCTTTCTTCTTCCTTCCTTAGCATTTCTTATGAATTCTCAGATTTGTTTATTGTCAAAAGATCTTGAGTCCCTCAATTTGAGCAAAGGCCTTAGTTGGGCGAGATATCAGCTCTGATAGATGGGGATCCAGAATACTAGAATACCTGGTGGGTGTTTTCCATCAAAACAGTCTAGTCTAGTAAAGCAAGTCCCTGGAGGAAGTGCAGGTGGGAGAAGTGGGTGAAGAATTCCCTGGGAGGTGGTGATCAGGGCCACGCCAAGTGCCCGGGGCAAGTTGGGGGCCTTTATAATGCTGCCAGCAGTCGCTGGCTATCAGCCTTGCTCACATCCTCTCCTAGGGTCCGACTTGCAGCTCCGGTAAGTAGGACTCACTCATCCTCCAGGGATCTACCAGGGCCCTTTCCTCCTTCTTGGACTGTCTCGAGCCGCTAGGCTAAGTCCCTCTTCTTTCTTGGTTAATCAGAGAAGTGACAGGAGCCTCGTGACAATTAAGGAAATGCCACAGTAATTGTTACTTAGGAAATTTAGTCTCCATTCTGTACCATTGTTAGGTGTGACTGATTTCCTGATTCTGGGGTTTAGCTCCTTGGCAAGAAGACTTTTCTCATTGAGGGGATATATTTACAGCTGTAGCATTTTGTGGCAACAGTAATCCTTCTTCAAAGCTTTCTTACACCCTTTCAGCAATACCAATGAGCTTTTCAAACTTTGCTTTTAGTTTTACAGAAATCACATTTTATATATCATACTTTATACTATGCAGCTACCTTGTCTCACTCTCATGATTGCCACCTGGGACCTGTGCTTCCCATTTCTAATCACAGATTTAGAAGGTGACAAATGCTGTCTACAAAGAAAATCAGAGACACAGGTCGGAGCTAGGAAGGCCTCAGGGACCTTCTCTATCAGCATCCTCCAAAAAAGGGCATGGGGTCCAGGTTGTCCACAGGTATGCCTGGCCAGCAAGGGGCCAGTGCTCTTTCCCCTGAACCAGGCTGTCTCTTGGTAAAACATCTTCCTAGTAAATCTCTTCACTCCAGTGATCTATTTGGCCTTAAATACTCTCCATGGGGAGGAGGGAGCCATTAGAGCCACTATCATCATACAGCCAAGTTAAATGCTTCACCTTAACATCCCATGGTGAGTCAGGGGTGGAACTAGGATTAGAACCCAGTCCTCTGAGTACCTGGAACAGGGTTTCTCCAACCCATTGTTTATACACACTTTCCCCTAAGACAGAGACTGCCTCTTCTTTATGCACATCCATCTTGCTCACATTCATTGCACTACCCAAGGCAACCAGTAGATACTCCAGACCCATCAGCTCATGCCTTGATCTTGTAAAATGTCCGAGCTACCTTTTAATCATCAACTCAGCACACCTGTCATATTTTCTGGTAAGACTTAGAAATAATTTATGTATCCAGTTAAGTGAGGAGTCCATGGGAAGATGCAGGAAGATAGGAAGTTAAACAACATAGAAGAAGAAAGAAAAAGAGAGGGTAGGATTGCAATGGCTGCGTGTGAATCACTCAGTTAACCAATCTGAGGCTATTAATCACTTATCACATTCTTGACTGGTGAAGAAAACACTCTTCCAGGTGTCAGAAGGGAGAAGAGATGGAGGGAGCCCTTCTCATGGTGTCCCCTGCCTGGGTCTCTTTCAGGCTCACCTGTTCCTGCAGCAATGTCTTCCCAGCAGCAACAGCAACAGCAGCTGCCCCCGAAGATCCAGCAGCAGCAGGTGAAACAGCCCTGTCAGCCACCACCTGTCAAATGTCAAGAGACGTGTGCATCCCAAACCAAGGATCCATGTGCTCCCCAGATCAAGAAGCAATGTCCACCCAAGGGCACATCTGTCCCTGCCCAGCAGACATACCCCTTGGCCCAGCAAACCCCCAAGAGTAAACAGAAGTAAGGATCAGCTTGAATATCACCTGCTCGCCATCCAGACAAGATGGAGCCTGCCTTCTTCCTGCTCCTCTTCCCCCCAGCTCCAGCATTTTCCCATCTCTCCCACCTCCTCCTACCTAGGGTCCAATGAAACACTGTCAGAAGTTCTTCCCATTGAGACCATCACCTCACATCTCACCTTTGCCTTCGTCTTCTATATCCCACCCTGACTCTCTCCCAGGAGGACATGAGGAGGCCTCATTCTCTCCAACCTTCAGCTTGACCACAGTTATGCTGTATTCATGTCCCAAAGCAATAATGTATCCAGACCTCTTCTAGAATTCCACCCTGACTGGTGGGGATACCAGAGGTCAATACACAGCTCCTGCCTATCCTTCCCCAGCTCCCCTTCCCTCAGTGTCTCTCTTATTTCCTCCTCTAATAAATCTGTGCCTCATGTCATTGTCTGTTTCCTGGCTCCAGTTTGTGATCCATTAAATGGTTCAGAGGGGGTGTTTGGGGGAAGTGAGTATATGAGCACACATGTGCCCAGGAAAGCATCCTCATGGACAGGGTTATTCTCCAATAACTAATGACAAGACGGTCAGATCCTGATGCATCTCATGTAAAGGAGGGTGAGAAAAAGCCCAGGGACTAGCTGACAAGGGTCTGGGAGACTCATGTAAGTAATCATATCTAGGAAAGGATAATGGGAGGAAAACCTTAGCTCCTACCATTAAAAGGACCCACCCTACCTGATAAATGTGGTTTTTCCCTCTCAGAAGTTGTCATTCTGAAAAAGCATACAGAAAGTTAAATGATGTAAGAGTACTACAGAGCACTTCTGAAAACGTGCGAATAAATTTTTTAATTTGGAGTTTTTGTGCTTTTAAACTTTTTATTGACTATATTGGAGTGATATTGGTTAATAAATTTATATAGGTTTCAAGTGTATAATTTTAAAATATCATACCCAAAATCAAGCTTCCTTCCATCGCCATTTATCCCTTTACCCTCTTACCTGCCCCTACCTGCCTTTCCCTCCAGTAATCCATAACTGTTGCCTGTGTCTATGAGGGGGTTTTTGATGAATCTCTCCACCTTTTCACCCAGCACCTCGACCCCCTCCCCTCCGACAGCTGGCAGTCTGTTCTCTGTATCTATGAGTCTGTTTTTATTTTGTTTGTTTGTATATTTTATTCATTATAATCCACATATAAATGAAATTATATGGTATTTGTGCCTGACTTATTTCACTTAGCGTAATACTTTCCAGGTCCATCCATGTTGTTACAAAAGGTAAGATTTCCTTCTTTTTTACAGCCGAGTAGTATTCCACTGTGTAAATGTACCACTGTTTTTTTTTATCCCTCTGTCTACTGATGGACATTTAGGCTGCTTCCAAATATTGGCTACCGCAAATAATGCTGCAGTGAACATAGGGGTGTATATATTCTTTGAATTAATGTTTCGGGTTCCTTCTATACATTGCCAGAAGTGGAATCACTGGGTCATAAGGCAGTTTTCATCTTTAATTTTTTTGAAGAAATTTCCACAGTGGCTGCACCAATCTTCATTCCCACCAACAGTGCACTTCACTTTTTTCCATATCCTCCCCAACACTTGCTGTTTGTTGATTTATTGATGATAGCCACTCTGATAGGTGTGAGGTGATATCTCATTGTGGTTTTAATTTGCATTCCTCTGATGATTAGTGACGTTGAGCGTCTTTTCATATGTCTAGTGGCCAAGTGTATGTCTCCTTTGGAGAAGTGTCTATTCAGGTCCTTTGCCCATTTTTTAATTGGATTGTTTGCCTGTCAGTGTTGAGTTGTATAAGTTCTTCATAAATTTTGGATATTAAGCTCTTATCAGATGTATCATAGGAGAATATATTCTCCCATTCAATGGGTTGTCTTTTCATTTTGTTGATGGTTTCCTTTGCTGTGCAAACCTTTTAAGTTTAATTTAGTCTTATTTGTTTATTTTTCTTTTGTTGCCCTTGTCAAAAAGATATAACAGAAAAAAATATTGTTATGAGAATTGTCTGATATTTTACTGTCTATATTCTCCTCTAGAATCTTTATGGGTTCAAGTCTAACATTTAAGTCTTTAATACATTTTGAGTTTTTTCTTGTGTAGGGTGTAAGAAGGAGGTCTAGTTTCTTTCTTTTTTTTTTTTTTTTTTTTGCATATATCTGTCCAATTCTCCCAACACCTTTTATTGAATAGTCTTATCTTTACCTTATTTTATATTCTTATCTCCTTTGTGACATGTTAATTAACCATAAAGGTGGGAATTTGTTTGTTTCATTGATTTGTATGCCTGTTTTTATGCCAGTATCATGCTGTTTTGATTACTATGGCTTTGTAGTATAGTTTGATATTAGGCAGCATGATTCCTCTAACTTTGTTCTTCTTTCTCAAGCTTTCTGTGGCTATGTAGTCTTTTGTGGTTCCATATGAGTTTTTGGAGTATTTGTTCTAGTTCTGTAAAATACACCTTTGGTATCTTATTGGAATTGTGTTGAATTTATAGATTGCCTTGGGTAGTACAGACATTTTAATAATATTAGTTCTTCCTATTTGTGAACATGGTTTATGCTTCTACTTACCATATTTTGCCATGTATAATGCACACTTTTTTGCCCAAATTTTTGAGGGGAAAAATACGGATGTGCATTATATATGGATAGTACTAATTCTGTATCTATATAAATGTTTTAAATTATTTTATTTATGCTTAGATGTTAAAGGTGTAATCCTAGAAAGCAATAATGATACCATATGCAAAATAATACCCCAGAATACAATAATAGGTTTTGTTTCTAAATATAAATAAATAATTGAATTTAAAAATTTTAATTAAAATTAACATTTTAGAAAGAACTGAAACCTACCATAAGCTCTCATGACACTTTGTACAAAATTCTTATTAAGTAACATAATTATTATAGCTTTTATGAATAGTGTACACATTTTTTGCATAATAGTTCACCTTTATGTGTTTAGTTCCTCTACTAAAGTATGAACCATTGAAATCTAAAGGTCTTACTGTTTTTAGTATTTCCCAACTGCACAACTAGCTTTTCCAAATACAGAAGGAAGAACTTCTGCTTCTGAGTGAAATGGGATAGCTTGTGGTAAACCCATAGTCTAGTACAATCTAGACTAAATTTATAAATTACCTGGGTACCCCAAAACTCCAGAGAGAGGAGAACTTCAGCAGTAAGCTGAAACTTCTTATATCCCAGGATCACTTGTGGATCCTGGGCATGGGCAGAAGGAAAGCCTGGGCTTCTCCTTGTACAGGATTCTTGCTACAGGGAGAGAAACTGAAAGAGTTGGTGGTTGCTTTTGGGGTCTTCAAGCAAATGACAATATAGTTAATTTAGGAAATGTTCAAATCAAGGTACTAAAAACCTAAGCAAAAAGTTTCTGAACGGCAGACTGGAACAATGATTGGAGTTTGCAACCTGGCAGGAAGAGAGACCCTGGGAACATACCAGATTGAAAGTTTAAAATTGTAAGGCCAGGGGCAAGTCTAATCTTTTATGACGATTAGAATAATGGTTGTCCTTGAGGAGAGGGCTGATAGCGGGGGCATGATGGAGTTTTGTTCTGGGGCTCTGAAATATTTTCAGTCTGTGCGTGGTGGATTCATGGGTACATGTATATATAAAAAGTTCTTTGGGCTGTACTGAAGATTTGTGTTTTGTGTTAGTGTAACCTCAATAAAACTAAAAACATTCCACATTATATAAGTGTATCAAGTCACCACACTGTACACCTTAAACTTACACAATGTTGTACTTCAATTGTATCTCAATAACGATAAGGGGAAAAAGAAATTTAAAAAAATAACATCAATTACCTTATCTAAATTTAATGGAAGTATGAGAACTTCATACTTCATAAATGAGAATTTAGTATGAGAAGTTCATACTAAAAATATAAAACAATGTTGAAAGAAACTAAAGGAGAACTAACAAATGAAGACATGTGCCATGTTTATGTATTAAAAGACTCTATTTTAGTCTGAGTCACACATACACAATCATCTGACTTACTGCAAAAAAAGGCATTGCAAACAAATGAAAAAAGAATATTTTTCAATAAATGACAATGAGTAAAATGGACATTCATATGGAACAGATACAACTAAACTCCCTGCTAAATTGTAGATCTAAATTTGAACATTGAAACAATATGTGATTTTTGAAGAAAAGACAGAAGAATGTTTTAATGACCTTAAAGTAGGCAAAGATTTTCTGAAGAGCACAAAAGCACTATTTAGAAAAAAATTAATAAATTTCACTACAATAAAACTAAGAACTCTGTTCAACAGAAGATACTATTCCATAGAAGAAACTATTAAATTACACAAAGACACAGCCTGGGAGAATTTTACATATACACATACATAGGCACACATATGTATATGTATATATGAATATATAAACACAGGTATATGTATATATTATAGATAAACATTATATTCTGACTATATAAAGGAATCCTAAAATTAACAAAAACTACAGAAAGCCTACTAGAAAATGGGCAAAGACTTGAACAGGTACTTCAAGAAAGAGAATGCCCAAATGACAGATAAATACATAAAAAGATGCAAATGACCAATAAACATATAAAAAGATGTTAAACACTAGTGGTGTATTCATACAATGAGAGGCTACACAAAAATGGATACATCTCACAAACATAATTTTATGTGAAAGAAAGAAGCATTAATACTATACATTAAATAATCCCATCTACACAGGGTCAAAATGACTCAAAGGTGAGATAAGGGAGCTCCAGGGAACTGGTCAAGTTTTGTCACTTTATCTGGGTGTTAGGTAGATAGATGCGGCTCACTTTGTGAGCTCTTTGCATTTCCCTGCATAATATTATGCTTCTAAATTTTTATAAAGGCTACATGAATTTAAAAAGTACTTGGACAATATTTCCATTCTCAATGACTTAAAAAACTGAGTTGTTTTTCCCTGTTTCTGTGCATACTTCACC